ATCATCTTCGGTTCTTATATTGCAGCACCTAAAACTATCCGCATCGAAATATATATTTATTCTTGCTTATATTTCAAAGCGCAATTAGGACTTGGCAAAGTGCCAAGAGTGCCGCACGCGACACGCGCGCACACGACGGATGTTAGCATGAACGGGAGTCTGCGCCGCAAAAGGCATTGGGCGGAGCATGGAGGAATTAGCGTGTTTCACGGTCCTGTATCTCCATTCCTGCGCATGTTAGGACGGGGAAACCGCTACGCTTCGACAGCTGGGGGCTGATAGTCACGCACACCCAAACTATGTGTGATCGTACCATGTGTCTTTAAAACCATCAAAGGTAAAAAAAGGAAAAACGTGGTGTAAAAGCTGAATTCGTGTGAGGAAATAGCCTTCGAGTTTTGGTGGGCGAGACGCCTAGAAGGCGTCAGAAGCTGTCAAGTTATGAGGGCCGTTTGTCACTTTTTGCGAAGCTGCGAAGTGGGACAACGATGAAGACTGATGTTCCGACCCTTGTACAAGGAAGGACGCCTAAGAATTGCTAGAGCGCGGAGACTGCCCTCAAGAAGTTGCATGAACCCTATTCATCTCGGAAAGCCATCTGCAACATCGGAAAAAAGCTCCGATTTTGGACTAGGGTCCGGAACTCCGAAGTCCTTCCGAAGACATAATTCCAAACACACAAATCAAAAGCTTTTCTTGTGAACATTCGGCAGTGTTTGTTCTTTTAGCGGAAGTCCGGGTCTATCTTTCCCAGGGCATTGTCGTATTCACTGACGTTGCTGGTTTGGCGAAATCGCGGAAGAGAGCATCCGCCCCTACCGGTCGCTCGGTCGGCCGCGGGACCGCCATCGTTTAAAAGAGCCGACGTCGAGCTGACGAACATCATCGACGATCCACGACTTTCCATAATGTCTTCGCAACTCATCGGGTTCGTGTTCCTCTACATTTTTGTCGATTTCGTAATATTATTTTACAATATATTATTATTATAATTAGATATAGTAGCTTCACCGTGGATCAGCTACTATGGGGGGCTCGAGGGAGTCGTTGAAACTTTTTAGCCTTAGAAAAACCTCTAGCTTTATGTTCCCCTTTCTATGACAGTAAAACGTTTTGTGAACCAAGAAAAGGAGGATCGGAGATTCCACCCTTGTGAGGTACGGCTTACCCCCTACAATTTATTTTTCCTATAGTTGGTTACTCATGGAATTGTATACCCTTCCAAGGATCTCTTTGTGGGGTTGAACTAGTATCTTCTGATTTCCCGGCAGAAGCAGCTCTACAACTGATTGATCGGTTATCAAATTCTCTCCTAGGCTGAGCAGAAGAACCAAGAAGACTTCAAGACTCGAGTAGAAAGTCCTTGGCGCGAGAAGTCCTTCGGATCAGAGGGAGCCAGAGGAAGTATTGAAGAGAGCCTCTCCGCCCAAAGTGGTGTAGCCAACCCAATGCACGGCCCACATCCTTGATTTTTTACCAGGAGTATAGAGGCTCTTAAGGACCGTGGGTCGTATAAGTAGACTAGTAAAACCGAATTTTCCTCTGAGCACTCTGAAGTTGCCATTCGGCTCCCGTGGAGGCAGTTCCCCATGGCTGGGCAGGTTATTAACTTCCACTACTTGAGTTTCAATTTATTTAGAATTGTACCAGTTGATAGTGGTTACCGCATCTCTACTCAACTTTGCTCTTTTCAGGGTTCTCCTGTCCGTTCTGGCAATCTCTCAGGCTCAGGTTGCCGTCAATGGACAATTCCACGGTCGCTACTATGCTGCTGCGAAACCTTTACTGACACCGGGTTATGCTCAAGTCGGCGCACCAGTGCTCGAACCGGTGTTTGCTGCCGCTCCTGCTATGGCTCCTCCTGCACCTGTATTTGCTGCTCCGGCTCCAGCTCCAGCACCTGTCTTGGCCGCTCCTCGTGCTCCAGTCTACGCTCCGGCTCCAATGGCAGCTCCTGTAATGGCCGCACCAATGATGGCTGCCCCAGTAGCTAGACCTGTGTTCGCTGCTGCTCCAATGATGGCTGCTCCAGTGGCAAGACCGGTACTCGCTGCTCCAGCTTATGCACCAGCCGTTGCTCCTGCTCCGGTTTTCGCTGCTCCCGCCATGGCACCAATCGCCTACGCACCTGCATATGCACCATTCCTTCGTACGCCTTACTTCATCGGAAGTAACAAATCAAAAAACTAAATTATGTCAGTCATACCGTGCCATACAGTGACTTTCTGTACATTTTGAGATTAAATAAATGCTCACAACTGTAATTTGAGTTATGTACTGCGACTGGAATAAAGGCGCTGCTCATGTAAAGAAAAAAGACGCCTTGGTGGTATGCGTGTTCAAATCGGTAATCTCATGCCTGCCCAAACCATAGATTCTGCACTGCCTTAATCGATGGTAGGCATGAGTGAGAATATAAAGCAGAATCTAGGGTAAGGCGCAGTTTGACGACCGGGGGGGCATTTTGTACCATCATTGCTTCCCTAGTTCCGGTTTACAAGTCTCACTCAACCTGTGAACTCTTGGGAAGCTGGAGCAAGCTCATCTCGGGACTCGGGAAGAGGCTGCCTAGATAGGTCGACACGTCGATGGGAAGTAGCGAAAGTGCAACCCCCCCCCCCTCGTCGTCAAAGTGCGCCCAGGGTAATGACCCATTTCGTATAAGGATTTCACGACATTTCGTATTAAGGCATTTTGATCATGAAGCGCGACGACTTCATTTAGATACGGCCTCTATGTCTGCGGTTGGAAGTGGGGGGTACCTCCGTCTCTCCCAAACAGGAGGAAAGTTTATCGCGCCGAGAACTGAGGGGAACTGTACGCTGAGTATTTCAGAAAAGGAGAGACAGATAAAAACAGGTCACCTAGGCTCGAATGTAATCCATCGTCTTCCAGCATAATGGCGAATCCGATCTCCACGCTTGACCCTGGGATAGAAAAAATTGACCTGCTCGTAGCTCGTCCCACAGGTCATTGTAAAGAAACGAGACGGTTTGTGTAGCGAAGAAACACATCTACGATCCCGAAGAAAAGAACCTCAGAGCGCTGTTTGAAAAGTCGTAGTAACTCAACGACAAATAACCATTTCTGTAAGATTTTATACAATATCACGTAATGGTTCGTACACAATGCACAATGTTTAGAGGCCAGTTTTTCGCCTGCGGAGGAAAAAGGCCGAAAACTGATGGCCTACCACTGAAAGCCTTTCTTACTAATTTACCATTGGCCTGTCAACGAGGAGCGCAACAGTGATGGGCCTGACCCCATCCACAAGATAAGAATGAATTGTGCCTTTGTTGAAGCAGGGCCACATTCTGATTGTTGGGAATTCCCAGCAGGGAAGGATCGCTGTTGAGGTCGCTGGAAGAGGGAGGGGAGCGTATTTTTGTTGAGACAGAATTATTTTGATAACTGTTTTTTTCTTGTTTCATGGACGTTGTAAGGGGAGGAGGGGTCGTATTCCGAAGTGAACTTTCTTGATAGAAGACCTGCCTCACTATTTTGCCAGTCTTTCCTGCATCATGCTGTACTCATATAATATATTACCCCCCCCGCTTCGACAGGAAAATTTTTCAGCGGAAACTTCCTGGAAAAGCGTGTTGGAAGAAGTTGGAGAAAATCTGAAAAATGGTAGTAGAGAGGTCGTAGTTTCGTCGCGGTTTTTCCCTTTTCACATGCCATTTGCTCCCCCCCCCCGCGCGGGACGAGGAGGAACCAGGTGGGTCATAGCAACCCCTAAGAAAAAAAGGGGATGGGGGTCGTACGAACTCAACAAAAATCCCCAACTAATGATGTGCCCTGCTTCGAAGGAGAAAACAAAAAGGTGCATAAGCACCACAATCGGGACGGTGTTCAGCGGTCGCAGAATGAGCTTATCTGGGCCGTGTCCATTAGAGATCAGTCAAGGTAAAAAAGAACCATAGGTAGAAAACTGTGCGGGTAGGCCCATTTCACGCCTCCTGACACCGTCCAGTCGGGTTATGACGATATCAGCTGTACAATGAAATGGGATCAAGAGCTGCAGGGGAGAAAAAAGTCAAGCTCTCAGAAAACATCGAAAGTAAGAGAAAAATGATTCCCCCATCCAGTCTCAAAACTCCGAAGGGGAAAGAAGTCATTACAACCAAATACACTTAATAACTCTCTGAGAAGTCAAAAGCTTCTCCAGTTTCACAACATCTTATGTAAACAGATGTCCTTGTCGCATCACTATGTCGGGCTTTTGTGGAAGTTGTGCGAAAGTCCGATATCGGCATTGAATTCCCAAGTAGAGGACGCAGAGCACAACCAGTTGTAGTAGAGATTCAATCGTGAATAGAATCTGAAGGAAGCTGTTATTCAACTGTTTCAAGTGAGTACTATTGGGATCCTTATTACCGACCAGACTAACCTTCAGTCGTTCATACTATGTTGTTACTAAGTTTTGAGCTTCACAGAAGTTTACGAGAGCTTACAAAACGATTGCAAGCCGATCTACTCCAAAAAAATCGCCCTTTTCGGCTGCGATACAGTCATTATCCTTACGAGAGGACATGTTTTAGGGCCTGGATGGGATCGCCACCAAGCAACCTGTTCGATCAACTGATACCATCTTGAGCCCTCCACAAATTGTGGAAAAGGCTGCTCTGGCGCGCTTCAGCTGCGCTCGTGCTCCCTCACACTCACCTCCCTTAAGGGGATGATGAACTTTTATATACTGTTGTTTCCTGCACACGTTGTCTGCGCGATAAATTCCCGTGAGAATAAGATAAAGAGAGGTAAGCAGCTGAGTAACGTTGCACCTCTGAAGCGGTCCAGGGCACGCCATCGTTGTGCTGATCACAACGGGGGGGGGGTCGTATTTGACCGCGAGGGAGGGGGGTCGTATTTGGTCTGAGAAAAATTTTTTTGGTAGTTGATTTCTCTTGCTTCACGGACGGTATGAAGGGGGTGGATCGTATTTGGCCGTTGTGAGAGGGACTGCCAGAGATCTATACAATTACCATTTCCGATAATTGAAAATGATAGTTTAGAGTTAGTGACCTCCCCCCACCCTCCCCCGCTCGACAGCAAGA